GGGGGGGGGGGTAGCAACCCTGCTCCCAGGCTTTTCTCCCACTCCCTGCTCGAGCAGGGGTTGTGGCCAGGCCCTGGCCCAGGCTGACGCACTGAGGCAGACGCGGGGAGGGAGAATTTAAATCCTCTCCCTGGCCCGCAGGGGACCCTAGTCAGGGTCTGCCTGGCTGTGGGGAGGCAACCCCTCTTAGGCTTTTCCCTGCTTGAGTGAAGAGCGAGGGGTGTGACTGGATCTCAGTCTGGCCCCGCAGGCTGAGGTGGGGGGGCGTTAAAGCCCCTACCTGATCCACACCAGACCCCAGCTGGGGTCTGCCTAGCCTGGGAGTTCTGCTCAGGTTTAACTCCTCCTCCCCCTTCTCTGCCCCAGCATATTGGCCTTAGGCTGAGGCCAGGCAATGCCTCCCCCTCGTCCCCCCCTACTCTCTACTTGAGCGGAGAGTGGGGGAAAGTTTGGGAGGGATTGCCTGTGAGAGTGGGCTGAGGCCTGGCCACACCCCTTATGTGAGTGAGAAGAGCCTGGCAGGGGCTGCTCCTCATGGCCAGTCAGACCCCGGCTGGGGTCCTGTGCTGGCCAGGGAGGGGGTTTAAAACCCTCTTCCCCATTACATCAGCGTGCCAGCCTCGCCATGCCCTCCACTTGACTGGAGATTGGGGAAAAAAGCCTAGCAGGGGCTACTCCCCTCCTCCACCCCCATGACAGTGGGGGTCAGGTGGGGTTTATCCCCCCCATCATAATGAGCTGGCTGGGGCCTGGCTCCCTCCATTTGAGCAGGGAGGGGAGGAAAAGCATCAGAGGGCATCTCTCCCAGCTTCCCTCCCTTCCTTTTGGCAGTGGCCGGCAGACTGGGAGGTATGCACTAGCACCCCCGTAGCTTTTGGCCTGTGCCACTGCAGGCATGTGGCTGCATTTCTGGTGTCCAAAAGAGAATGTCTGTTCACTTGTTTGTTGGTTCAATCTACGCAGTTCAGACTCACCTGCAAAGATTGAGTCTGTTTTGCCTGAAGCTTTTTGGTTGTCTGTATATTAGGCTTATAGGTTGTTGGACAACACTTTGCGTTGCTTTTGCTGATGTTTAGTTATGGAACATTTGTCTAGAAAATTGTTTCTGAATTACAGTATAATTTGTTTTATTGACTTTCTCTTGACTGTGTGTGTGACATATAAAGCTTTACCTGTACTTAGCATTGCTGATCATAAGTAACTGATGGTAACTGTCTTACTTAAACCCACTTAGCATTAAAGCTGAAACTCTGACTAACAATAATTGCATTCAACAACCATTTTATTATTATTGTTTAGTAAATATTTTTTTAACAATCTGGCTTCATATTTTGCTATATGGATTTTATTTTAATATGTCCTTCCTCAAGAGCAAATTAGATTTTTTCTGTTTGTCTGTTGAGCAGCTGTTAAAAGCTATAAAAATGTACTTTTTATTCAAAGCAGTAATTGCATGGGATTGGGCTTTTTTATATGCTGAACTCTTGAAATTTAAAAATAGGAGCTCATGAGGAAGCCCTAAAGCTCCACCATCAAATTTTTATTTATGATTCTACTTTTTGTTTCTTAGTACTAGGAACTATTTTCATAATATGCGAAAGATTTCACACAGTCTTTGTTCCAATCCCTCCCCCAAATGCTTATTTTTAATCTATTATTTAAACTCTTGATTTTGAAAGCTTGTCTATGTGGGGGACATTCAAGAAAATATAACACACTTTACATTGCACTTTTAGTTTTTTAATTAAAATGGAGTTATCTCCTGTATACATATTTTCATTCAGAATTAAGGTGAACCAAATTCATATAGCTAAATTCATTTCCAAAGTAACTTAAATTAATGTAAACCAAAATAAAGATACTGTAACTTTAAATGTGTTGAAGTAATGCAGTTTAACTAATCAACTTTAAAGTTAATTTGAATTAATTTTCTTTGGTATCATTTTGTAAGTAAGCCCTAATAAACTAATCTCAATAATCACCTGAGGTAACTATGAGGCTAGTGTGGTAAGGCTAGTGGTATGGGTTGAAAGCCCATATCCTTTGTTTTCATTAGGGCTGTGTGAAGCTTCGGTCACTGATTCGATTCCTCAGATATTTGGCCCAATTTGGCGGCCAATTCTCTAAATCTAAATCGAATCAGGAGGCCCTTTAATCTCTCTGAATTGAATTGGAACCCTCTGAATCGATTCGGAGAGATTTGGAAAGATTCGATGATTTGGACATAGACATAGCTTTAAATGTTTTTTTCCTACATACTTCAAGGTACCAGTTGGCTTGTGAATGCTGAGATGCTGGGGTGGATGGAGCATCCCACGGGTTGGGGTGTCCCCAGTGCGCTTGGGGGTAGACCCCAAAGCGGATCAGAAGCACTTCTGGGTCCTCCGGGAAGCATGCGGGGGACTCCTCCCCCCCACCCCCCGGTGTGGCTACTGGTGCCTCCTGGGTCCCCCTGCAGCCAATCACAGAGCTGGGGGGAGCTTGGGGAGTCCCCCATGCGCTTGACAGTGGACCAGAAGTATTTCCAGACCACCTCTGGGTTCACTGCTGAGCACGTGGTGGGGGGGGAGGTGCCCTGCGCTCCTGTGGGACCCTCCATCTGCCCCACCATTGCAGTGTTCACGAGCCGTGCCTGGTACCTTGAGGTATGTAGAAAAAACATTTAAAGCTGTCAGCTGAATCAACTTGGGACAGCGATCTGAATCAACAAATCAAATCATTGTCCCCGGTTCAGGCCAAATCCAAATTGAATACGGCCCACCCCTAGTTTTCATGCCATATCTCACCACACCTGTACCCAGGGGCAGATCCAGAGTGGGTTTAGTGGCATGGTCGGCCCCCATTTTGGTCCATGCTGTGGGAACAGCAGCTGAGGACTTTTATGTCCCCAAAACAGGTAAGAATCTCCCCTTCCCTTCGATTCTTTGTGGCATCCCTCTGCTTCCCTCCCACACGTGCCTATGACTGCCTCCTCTCCTGACTGACGTGCATGGAAGAGGAGCTCCAGAGCCACTCCTGCTGTACTTGACTTTGGTTGTGCTGGGAGCCATGCTCAGCCAGGGACAGTAGTGGCAGAGGTGGCAACAAGCAGGCAGGTCCCAGTAAGCTGGCCTCATCTGAGCTGGGGGAGAGGAGAGGAGGTTCACTGAGCACAGAGGGGAGGGGAAGAGGTGTTAACTGCCAAGTTGGGGATGAGAATGGGATTCTTACCTGATCCATGGCTTCTGTTGCTCCTGATCTGGATCTGCCATACTAGTACCCAAAGTCATTTCAGAGTACACAATAACAAGTTAATTAAATATGCGTGGGGGGAGAGGGGGAAGGGAGTAAGGTAAATGCTGCTGATCCATTGCCACCAAGATACAAATCATACCGGTGAAATTCTGAAATGGGAGATGATTTTCTCAGTGAATAAAATTTGTTAAAATCACTGAGTGCTGCTGGACAGTTTAAAGGCTTTGATCTAGAAGACCATAAGTCTTAGATTTTAAAACTGGCTAGTTAGTGGCCCACAGCCCATGAAGGAGCTGTAATCCTAGGGCATGTCTACACATGCATTTAGGTAAGCCTAAATTTAATTCGCGCTCACTTAATGTGCATTAAGGTGACTTAGGCTCGTGTCCACATGTGCACAGGTTAAAGCACATGAATGCCGTGGACGCATACTGACGGACAGAAGTTAGTCCCAGGTCAGTCCATACATAGTGTTAATGCACCTTAATGCCTCTGCACATGCATTAATGCCCTTTTGCAAGTATCAGATTTAGGTGTGAATAGCCTAAAATTTCCATTTTGAAGTGCATTAAGGGCACGCATATGTAGACGCGTGCCCATAAGGCATCTTAAATTGGCCTAAAGTGCCTTAAATTGGCGCGTGTAGATGTGCCCCTAGATTTCTACTTGGCTGTTGGAACAAGAGAACCCATGGCACAGGGTGATTCCTAGGTTCCTGCATGTGTGGTATAGTGGGTGACAGGAGGGGATGTAGTGCAGCACCCGTATGACATGAGGCTTGGGGTTCCCCTGGTTTGTGCTGGTGTGGCGTGGATGGCATGTGGCCTCCACTGGTACAGCCTGTATAGAGTTTGCCCCTCTGCTACTTAGAAGCTGGATGGCTCTGGTCTGCCTTCTGTATGGCTGTGCAGTCCATATAGGTGCAATGTATGTAGCTGCAAAATGCACTTAATGTTCTTTAGCCAAAACTATGCAGGTCAATTTTTTCAGTTGCATTTAGATGATATAAGAAACATATATGTTACTTTTGTGTGCGTTCTTGCGCTCTGTTTTTCTTAAAGCTTTTTTGAAACACATTCCTATCTGAAATAGAATGGACAGAAAAGAAGAGTAAATTTGGGAAATGCTTATGGACTGCTAAGTATTGGAACAAATGAGATATGGTATATACCACTGTCTTGTTTAAAGAATTGTATTTCTTTTGGAATTTGAGGACAAACTATTAATTGTGGAGTAATAGTAAAATGGAAGTTTTTGTATTCTACTAGTTGATCTATGTATACACAACATAATGCAGTGCTGAGCAGAGATACTTGATTTATGGAACACTGTAGGTTTAAGTCTGGCACTTGCCTGTGCTCAGCAAACAAACAAACAGTCTATCTAAACTATCCAGTTCTTTTTAGACAGGTAGCAGTCTTTGCTGTGTCACCTATGAAAGCTTACTTATACTGTGTATTTTAATGGAAGAAGCTGTAAAGTGAATTAATGTTTAAATTATTTTTGTCTTTTACTTATCAGGAAGATGAGGTGATCATTTTGCATAATTAGAATAGTTAATTTCTTGATGTGTCTAAATCCTGTGTGAAGTAAATTTTAAGATGCATGTCCTATTTTGAGATGAGAATGGTGTTTGCTTATATGACACTTAACTAGGCTTCTTTTTTTAAAGTGAATGATGAATTATTTTTAACCTAAAGCATTCTTAAGTGCAGTTGTGTAAGATTAAAAAATCACTTATTGCATGTTTAGTTTTATTCTTTTGACTGCATGTGGTGGTTGTCTTTCTTTCCTTTAAGAATATAGTTAAGTGTAGAGGTGCACCGATACATTGGTCCAATATCAGATTGGCTCTGATATAAAGAAAATGTATGGTATCGGAAATTGGTCATATTAGGCTGATAATTTGGCTGATAAATGGCCCGTGCATGTGCACAGCTGCAGCACAGCACAGGTGGTGAGGAGCACAGCCTGGCAGCTTGAAGAGCTGCCTCCAGCTGGTACGTCTGGTATGGTGGAAGGGGAGGGGGAGGGAAGGGGCATGGGGGTGCAGATCAAGGTTCCCATGGTGAGGAAGGGTGTGGGGCTGGGGTTGGGCCAAGTGGTGCCCAGCCAAGGCAGGGCAGGTGCAGCATGGACCCACAGCTCATCTGTGGGGTAAAGGGAGGGAGGGAGGGAGTGGCTCCTGCTGCTTCACACCACTCGGCTGGGAGCTGCTCGTCTGGTGGTTCCAGCTTATGTGGCACTTACCTGCTCATCAGGTGGCTTCTGCCGCTGCTCCCACTGCTCGTCTGTGAGGGCGGGGGGGGCGTGTCCTCCCGGATCTGTGTGGGGCGGGCTAGGGCTGGGGCTGCGGCAAGCTCTTCTTGGCAGGGCGTGACTGCGCTGGGAAGGAGCTACAGTGAATTTGTGGCTGCAGCCCTGCCTTAACCCCTTCCCAGCTTAGCCCCACCCTACCAGGAAGAGCTTGGCATAGCCCCGGCACAGATCCGGGGGTATAAGGTTCCCCCCCGCCCCCCTGGATGAGTGGCAGGAGCTGCCAGATGAGCAGCCAAGCACCGGATAAGCTGCCCTTCCCTCCCTGTGCCCCCTGGACGAGCTGCCTGCAGCTCCGTGCTGCACCTGCCCCACCGCAGCTGGGCAGCACTTACCTCAGCCCCACACCCCATCACCATGGGGACCTTGATCTGCCTCCTCCCCATTCCCCTTCCCTTCCCCCCTCCTCTTCCACTACTGCCGACTTACCAGCTGGAGGCAGCTCTCCATGGTGCTGAGCTGGGTATCAGAAATTGGATCAGCATTGGCCGATACGCCTCCTTAAAAATCGGCTATTAGTATCAGTCACAAAAATCTTTATTGGTTCACCCCTAGTTAAGTGGCTTCTTAGTGTATTGAATTTAATCTAGGGAACTAGGAAAATAATTTAATTATAAAATAATTTTTAGTGGGTGCATGCAACTCTCAGAACACTGCAAACAGAGGTTTCCATGGTTAGTAGCAAGTGCAAACACAGACATGTCTGTAAAAGTGACCTATCAGACTCCCAGTTTTTCCAAATTTGGCATTGCCCTGTAACATCATCACCTTCCATCTGTCAGTTCTACTCACAGACATTATCTTGAGCAGCTTTTCTTTTCATTGTCAAGAGAGAATAGGACTTCATAGACATGCGGAATGTTCCACAACTATTGTGGAATGCTTATCTCTCTTTTCTCGGATGTCAGACACGCTCACTTTTTGTTAAGGTATCCTCTGAATCTCTCTCTCATGACTTTGACATGAATACAACAATATTTATAAGCATGTTAAAAAATTGGTATCTTAATATCATGTAAATGTTTTTTTTTCTTTCTTTTTGCATGTTTTTATGCTGTTTCATTTAAGAAAGAAATATTTATCTCAGTATACTTTGTTTCATTTAATTCAGCTGTTGGCTTATCTCATTGTTTTGTAGTACCTTAAAGCAGGTTCTCTGAAGGATCCTCTGCTAGATGACCATGGGGACTTCAACAGAATGTGTACAGCAATGAGAAAGATTGGCTTAGATGATGGAGAAAAGCTTGATCTTTTCCGAGTAGTGGCTGGTGTTCTTCACCTGGGAAATATTGATTTTGAGGAAGCTGGGAGCACTTCAGGTCAGACAATTTCAGTTATTATCATGTACAAAAATAGGGTAGCTGTTTTCTGACTAAATGACTGAATCATGATGAATTCTTACATGTCCGCAGCAGAGTGTATTCAAAAGCAAAATGCTAGTTGGGGCACTCCATAGTTAAGTTCCCATTTATAAGCTTCATCTCCCTCTTTAAAAGCTGATCTGCTACTTAAACTTCAAAAATAAGCAGATCCCCTGAAATTGGAAACATATTCCTTGAAAACCAAGATGCAAATCAGATAAGAATTTGGTAGATCTTTCTGGAATATTTGGCCAACATTCAATTTTTTTTAAAGAAAAATTCTCAGCTTTTAGATCATGCCGCTAAAATAACTTGGACTAGAAAATTCACCTGTGCATTGTGTTTGTTTGACCATAGAGAGAGATATCTTCCTTTAGTATTTTTGGGAGGAGGAAAGAATGTGGTGTATTAATAAAATAGGTACCATATTTACCCAAATATAAGATGACCCAGTGGGTAAGATAACCCCACAATAATTAGATTTTATACATGAAAAAATTATAAATTTCTTATAATTTTCCATTTATGGAATTTAATTATTGGAAGGTCTTCTTAAATTCATCCCCCCACTACTGCAGCTGGTGGGGGCAGAGAAGATGATGGGGAACATAATAGGGCAGTCAGTGGGGGGACATGTAGTCGGGTAGGCATTGGGGCGTGATGGGGGAAAGGCAGTAGGGCCATGTGGTAGGGCAGGTGGTGGGTCTGACAGGATGCATAGGGTGCCTACTATAAAAGATCAAGCAGCCTGTGAAGGTGATGACGCCTTGGCCACTTGCAGATGAGGCCAAGGCTAATTGTGGAGTCATCTCACCCAGGATGAGTGGGGCTTAGAGCAGATGTAAGCCCAGGCCTGAGCAGAGCTGTCAGTAATATCTTGGAGGCTTCTGAGAACATGGCCTCAGTGGGATGGCTGCAGCTCCAAAAGGTCAGCATGGATAAAAAGATCTAAAGCAGTCTGGTGGTTTGGGAAGGAACTATGAGGTGAAGTAGACACCTCGGGACCCAGTGTTGGGTCCAGAGCTCCTAGAGAGGGGCTGAGTGTATGGGACCTGATGAGGGGTCCAGGCGAACCCAGAGAGTGGGGGTGCAGGCAAGTGGCTTATTGAGGGGTCCGGGTAAGCCCAGAGAGCGTGTATGTGACCTATTGAGGGGCCCAGAGAAGAGACTGAACCATGTGGTTCCAGAGAGCTGTAGCCCTAGATAGGAAGCCTGCAGCTCAGGAGGACGTGTGACATCAGAAGGGAGCCCGGGAGAAGCCAGGGTAGTTGACCAGGGTGGCTTAGCAATTGGTCTTGGGTAAGACCTGAAAATGTACCCTAATGGGGCTGGTCAGCATGGTGGGGCTGCCTGTGCCTCTGGGGAAATGCCACACATTGCTACCTCAAAGAAAGGAACTTACAGGGTGCCTGAAAGCCTCAGCTCCTGCTACCTTGTGTGTCATCCATAGAGGGGGAAGGCTAAGAGACCACACCCTACCAGAAAAGGAAGGGAGAGAGTGGGACCAGAAGGGTCCAGAGGCTGAGAGAATAGCCAGGAAGAAGTAAGACCGGGGTCTGAGGACCCAGAGAAGGGACTGTGTGAGAGACTGAGGGGTTTGGCAGCTCAGCAAAGTGGCTGAGAGAGACTGAGGGGTCTGAAAGCCCAGAGAAGGGCTGACTGTGTAAACAGAGGATAACATCTGCAAGGCTTAGGGCATGGTGTAGGGACAGAACGGAGCTATGCATTTAGCCCATAAGGGAAAAACCATAAAGAACTGGTGGTCATTAAGATTATACCGGGGAGCCTCATGTATTTTAATGGCATTTAACTTCAAGACATGGTGGTCGAAGAAGCAGGCTGACTGCCCATAGGGTATGGTACAAGAATTTTTGGCCTCCAGGGGCTTGATAGCCACCCTTAGAGATGGTTCCCTGTGACAATGGGGACAGGCAGTAGAGGAACATGTGGCAGGGAAGGCGGTGGGGGGCAGTAATGGGGTAGGTAGTGGAGGGTGCAGTGGGGAAAGGCAGTAAGGGAGCAGGTGGTAGGGGGCAAGCAGTGTTGAGGCAGTGGGGCAGGCAGAGGGAGAGGTAGGTGGCTTGCTTGCCCTCCCCTCACTTACCTCCCCCATTGTCTCTGCCCCCCTTTTGCATCCTCAGGATGCCCTGATTTTCCCTGTTCTGTCCCTTCATCTTCCCCCCCTCCACATTGCTTCTTCCCCCATAGGCTCTGATTCCCCACTCCTCCTTCCTCCCATCTCTTCCCCGCCCCCCCTCCGCTCTCTCACCCACCCTTTACTTCTGCTGCCTGCAGCCTGAGGCACTGAGAATGGCTCCAGCCTGGCTCCATAGTAGCAGCATGAAGCTGGCATTGCTGCTACAGGGCCAGGCTGGAGTACATGTTACGTGCTCCGTGCTCTGAGGGTGGAGCCTGCCAGCCTGGAACAAAAGTAAGGAGGAGTGCAGCAAAAGCTAGGGAGAAAGGAAAGAAGCAACAATGGGAGGGGTACTGCAGGTGGTGGGGAGGGAGTTGCTGGGGTGTGCAGAAGCAGCTGGGGGAAGGCAGCAGCTGTGGCTCTGGCCCCAACACAGGGTTCATGCTGGAGCAACTGCTACCACCTTGTATTTGATTGTCAGATGAGGCACTTTTTCCCACTGTGCTCATAGATTCATAGATAGTTAGGGGCTGGAAAGGACCTCGTAAGATCATCGGGTCCAGCCCCCTGCACTAGGCAGGAAAGACAACTGGTGTCAGGTGACCCCAGCAAGGTGGCCATCCAGTCTCCTCTT